AGTTATAATTTCTTCTTTTTTTTTTATTGGAAATTTTTTTTCAAAGCGGTGGAGTTTTTTTAAACAGACTTGTTATAAACTTTTCATTAAAAATATTATGAGTAACTTCCTAAAAAAATCCAAGAGAAAAAGTGGCTCTTTTTAAACCCTGCAAAATAGTACAATAAAAATAAATGTTTGCAAAGCTCTTCTCCTCATCTTCAACTACTCCATTGGTAACTTTGGGCCACGCACTGGCTTTTATCGTACAACTTATTTCACCCAACTAGAACCGGTATTCAGGTGAATGCTGAGCAGATAAAAACTGCAGAAAGTTTTCAGGTAATTGATGGCCAGTGAAGGACATGGCCTAAGTCAGGATAAGGGCAGCCTTCAGACGACGGAGCCTATCCGTGCAGCTGTGCATACTCCATTGGTAACTTTGGGCCACGCACTGGCTTTTATCGTACAACTTATTTCACCCAACTAGAACCGGTATTCAGGTGAATGCTGAGCAGATAAAAACTGCAGAAAGTTTTCAGGTAATTGATGGCCAGTGAAGGACATGGCCTAAGTCAGGATAAGGGCAGCCTTCAGACGACGGAGCCTATCCGTGCAGCTGTGCAACCTTGCATTTTTCTTCCTCACTTCAGTGTTTTTTGTAGAAGATGTGCTAGAAGATGTGATAGGTATTTCAGACTCGGACAATCCCTTTTAGCTTCTACAAAGCTAACATCACAAGACTTGACAGCTCCTGGGAAGACTTTTCCCTCAACTTTCTTTGAGTTGGGTCCTAACAAGGTAGGTGCCTGCACGCCTCAGGTTGACTCTTGGTTTCCTGCTGTTAGGTAATCTCTGTGACAGTAACCCTAAGCAATTATGAATGAAGTACCCTGGGGCATTATTAATTTGTTAGCTGAGCATATTTTGAGTGTCTTGAACTCCCTGTTGATAGTTAATTTCATTACTGCTGCTTAATTAATATAGGCTAAAAAGTGGTATGGATAGTTCTCAACCTTGACTAGGGCCATCATCCCAGGATAGAAGGGGCTGGGAAACGCGAGCCATGTACTGCTAGAATATTCTAGTTACACTGATACAATAATCGGACTTCTATCTACCTGGGCTCACACTCACAGGGACATATAGGCTCTTAATTTCCTTGAAATCTCTTGGAGTCCAGCACCTGAATGCCTTCGTAGTTCTGCTCCACAGAGCAGGGATCCAGGCCTTTAGTTAAACATATCTCAGTTCATGCTATTTGGAAGCTGGGTGATACGAAAAAGGCCACCAAAACACAAAGAAGTCCATATCTTCATGTGACTGATGAACCAGCAAGCCCCGAGCTCTGCTCACCACAAGAGGCAGAACAAAAAACACAGAGAGAGCACAGATCGGACAGTCGTAACGCTGCCTGCAAAGGGAAAAGCAACTGGAGACCTCCAGATAATGGCCATTATTTCCAGGAGGCATTTGCTCAAATGATAAATTTTCAGCAAGTCACTGAAGTCATACTTGACTGTATGTGAAGGACATCTTAATGAAGCTGGAAAAATAAATCTCTTTAGAAATCTTTTATAAGCAATGAAGGAGTGACCAGGCTAAGAGCAGTTTAATAGCATATAAACCACCACTGTTCTAAGATTAGTTATTCCTGGGAGAACTCACATGACCTTTTAACAATCTATGAATAAGGAGCCTACGCAAACCTGAGTCTCCAAAGACTTTCCAGAAATAAGCTTTTTTCACTGCCTGCGTTCAGACTCAAATTCAGGGATGGATGCAACCCAGGTTTTAGCAGAGGGAAGGCGCTCATTGGTATCACAGGCTGTAGGAACACATGGCCTACTTGTCTGTGTCAGGGTGGAAGGAAGCAGCTTTTAAACTTTCCCCCTTTCCCGGTAAATCTACCGAGCCAACGACAGCAACTGGAGAACTTGTGTCATGGTGCAAATAGTGCAGAGTAACACAGCATATTAGGCTAAACCAAAGAAACATGAGAGAACAGAAGATGGAATCAATAAATGTTACGCGCATACATAGTAGAATAATTCAGTAAGTCCAAGCAACAAACATCCTTCGCTCTTCTCAGAAAGTCTGAACCATATTACACAGTCTCTGGAACTAGGTAGATCTCTGGGAACTATGTATAACTCTGCTTAAGACAGCATTGATTCAAGCAAAGACAACCCTCCAACTTGGAGTTTCTTGCTCTCCAGGAGACTTAAGTGCCTTCTGGTGCATTCATTTCATCAGTGTAGGGCTCTACAGTGCCTGGTGAACCAGGTCAAAAGTTGCAAGGCCACCAAAATCCCCGTCTGCTCACTCTCCCATCAGTAAGACTGAGATCACACTCTGATCTCTCCTCACCAGCAGCTTCCTGCACATCTTTCCTACATTTCTCCAGTGGAGGGCATCCAGCTGGCAACGACCGGGGACCCTATCCAGAAATCCAGGGCCCTCCACGGCCACACTAAGTTCAGATTCAAGCTCAAGTTTGTGAGCACAGAATCAAAGATCAGGTTGTTCTGCTAATTCCAGCTACAGCATTGGAAGAACCAGGGCCTTGGGCGTGGAATACATCTCACCTGACTTCAGCTGTCTGGTCTAAGGTAGCAACCTGGCCTCCCTCTGCGAGAGGCACGCGCCACTGGAAGGTGACCCAACTCCACCTTAAACACTTATTCGAAAGTTTGGATAGATGAGGCTGGAAGTGCTGGTCTCTTTCCATTGATGACAGAGTCCCCAAATGACTTGCTTGAGTTAAGTACTAAATTTTTTAGCAGCTAAATTTAGACAAGATGGATTCTTTATCTCCCTCCATTTTAATTAATCAGAAAAGCACTGGAAAGTGCTGATCAGAAAATAAACAGTAAAGACTCAGAGCTGGTAGGTGAGTACTAGTAATATAAGCAAGCTCTCCAATTGCTAAGAACCACCAAATGCTTCCTTGTGGGATATAAATAAAATCTTCAAAAACCTAACATCTTCACAACAGTAGTAGTTCAGAGCAGATGCATGATCCAAACCCATACACAGACTACCCTGTCCCATATTACCTCTCTCCTGCCCATGGAAGAAGCTTACAAAATAACGTAACAACAACTTTTCCAAGCACAGAACCCCGAGTTACTTTCTCCGCCCTGGAGCTAACAGTGCAACCCACGCTGGACAAAACTGAAACGCAGAAGTGGGACGCACCCACGCGCCACAACCAAGTGCCGGAAAGTCACAGACAGACACAAAGCCTTTCAATTCCATGGCCCAGCGCAGAATCTCAAATTTTAGGGAGCCCCGAAATGCACAGCAGTAAAGGCCCTGATACTAATTTGCACAAACAAGTCTTCAGTCACTTCTTCAAAATTAATGGAAAATAATATTCAGTACTTCACAGATCTTCCTTTACACCCTTCCACAGTTTGTTTTCTTTGAAGAGTCTTTGGGGAAGGAATTTGTCCAACTTTTTTGTTGGTTTTTTTTTTTAAAAAAACTAAAACTAATAATTTTCGCCCTTATGATTAGTCATCCCTTCAGAGCATGCTAATAGATTTGAAAGGCTGAGCTGTCTAGTACAAGTCTTATTTCTCTTCTTCCCACCACATCATTTTTGCCCATATATCTGCTAGCTATTGTTAGTGGTTTTCCTTCATTTCCCTTACAGAAGTCAGTTACTGGTTTGTTGTTCCCTGTGTATCTCTTGAAGACTTTTTTTGAAAATGCCTTCACATTTCTCATCTTCTGTGGTTAAATGACAGACTACATGCCTCAGTAAGTTTGGCAATTCCTAATCTGAAATCCTTTGGAATTCTTGGGTAAATACCCTCCGGCCCTGGTGTACTGTACACCGTTTAACAACCTCCTCCGACAACACTGAGCTGAGAAAATTCTCCTGATTCACCCCCATAAAGAGGGGAAACCTATCTAGGGACCTTCATAGTGATCCTGCAGTTAAAATGAATGCAAAGAATTCACTTAACGTTTCTGCTATGGCCTAATCTTCCCTGATTCTTTTGCAGAATCCTTCTCTGGCTCTCGCTCCCTTAGTTCACTTCAATTCCAGCCCACAGTCCTAGAAGAGATACCAGGTTTCTTCATTACAGAAGCATCACCATCTTGCGACAGGAAGTAATCTCCAGAATATTCAAGTTTCAAAACTTTTTTTTTTTACTTTCTTTTTTAAATAGGCAAGATCTGTGGATGTTTAGTATAGGCTTAGTGCTAAAGCTACTTTGATAAACCTTTGATGAACAAGAGTTCTGCAGTTAAATCCCTGAAAACATGGACGATGATCAGAAAATAAACAAGGGAACAAGTCTTCCCTCTAAACCAGGAAAACACTTTAAATACAGTAGAGAAGTATCTTTGTTTGTATCCATGTGTTTTTATGGCAGGAAAATACTATCAACCTAAATGCTAACGATGCTTTCTGTCATGATCCAGAAGCTATTGCTTCCCGTTTTTAACAAACCCCCAGATGATTTCTCTGTTGCTTGAAGCTTAGGTTGTCTATATTTTGGTTTTCCTGGGAATATTTGACACAGTGTAAGGAGTACTAAAGAAAAAAGAATGGACAGTTTGCTTGCACTTCTTGGAAGAAGATAGTAAAAATGAGCCTTCAGAAGTTTAGCAGAACTCAAACGTACAGCTTGTAGAGGAGTTTTCAGGGACTTTTCTTATTTCTTACAGCTTTTTTTTTAAACTGTTGCATGTTGCTAAGAACGGACACTAACTGTGAGACACAATCAGACCAAATACTCAGCTTGCCTAGTCACCTGATCTGACAGTACAGAGGGGGATTACAAGAACCCTTCCGTTAGATTCAACTACTAAGCGGAGAAAAAAGGGTCGAAAAGAAGCAGTCACTAGGGAGAACCATGGCTTCAGCCTCCTCCACTTCTGTGCTGAGCTGCAGTGGGGATCCCACTAATGAGGCAATTTGCCATTTTCAGAACCCTGCGCTGGTAGTCAGTTTGTTTAAAATTGGCCACTGAACCAGGTGAGATGACAACCTCCAGGCTTACCTTAGGGAGTCTGTACTTTTCTCTCAGATGAACCCTCAGACAGGCTCGCTCTGCTTTTTTCTGTGCAAACGCTGCATCTCTTTCCATCCTGGAAATCAGAAAAATTGTTTCTTCATGATACTAATAAAATACAGTCTTTTACGCTGAGCCAGTTGCTCGGCTGCAAGAAGCTACACGCAGGAGCTATTCCCAGAGCTATGTAACTTGTCCAAAGGCACAAAAGGAGTGACACCAACAGTTGGGGGGGAGACAAGGCTTCCTGTACCCCAAGCTTGTTCCCAGAACAGTTCCCTTGAGTCCTGTGAAGAATGAAAGGATAAGCCAATACTACTTGTCTGGAGCTTGTACCTGTACTAGCTGTTACTGCTCACTATAACAATGAGCGATTCCAATAAGCAGAACAGCAGAGTTACGTTTATTCCTTGCTTATTCCGCTGGGGCACTTACAGAGACCCGTCTGCCTGCCAATGCTGTTCTACAAACGTGACATTCTCGTAGTGTAACAACACACACACAATGGCAGAATGGCCTGTCTGGGTCAGACCAAAAGATTACCTGTCCCAGAGCACCATCGTCAACAGTAGACAGTAGTGGACACTTAGAGAAAGAATTTAAGAAGAGGATAAGCGTCTTGTATCAAAACTGCCTAGCTTCCAAAAATCAGTGGTGTAGGGTACTGGAGCTGGAAAAATTGGCTCTACATCGTTGTCTTTAATAGCCCTGGATGGCCTCTGTCGCCTATGAATTTTCCTGGTCTTTTCTGCATCCATTTATTGTTTCAGGACATGCTACGGCAATGAATTCCACAGCTTCCCTGTGTGGAAAAGTACTTCTCTTATCCGTGATTTTATAAAATGCTTTCATTATATTTAAGAACTGTTCAGCATAATTTTTGGTTAGATTACTTATGAATTATTTGCAAAATGTGTCTCCTCAAAGATTATTGGTAACATTTGATAACATTCACCTTCCCCCCCTGCTTTGAATTTTTTTTCCCAGAAGCATTGTCATGGAAATTCTTAGGCAAAATTGATTTTGTTCCAGTAGAGGTATTTTGTCACATAAAAATTACTTGCAAGATGAAATGTTATTTTTCCTCTGCTTCCACAAATGAGTTTTTGGGTTTCTCTCTCTCCCTCAAACAAAAAAAAAGAAAAAAAAGTTCACATTAACTGGAAGCCATCTTAAGCTTCTTTCAGCCGGTCATTGATAGGAAGATTGGAAAGAGAGTTTTTGAGCCCTTCTGGCATATTTTCCCTCTCTTTCTCAACCTTCCTCTTCTGTTGCCCACTCCTTCTCCAGAGGAGCCATTAGCAGCCATGGCTGGCGTTGGGATATGCGGCCGCAGGGCAGCGTGCGCAGCGTTACGACACGTCCCGTGGGTGTCCTGCGCGGCTGAGGGGCAGGAGGGGATTTTCTGCCCAGGTAGGTTTGAGCTTTTCACTTGTCCTGGCACCGTGGGAAGACCTGGCAAAACTCACTCAGCCAATCTCCCACCATCGCCTGGGCTCCAGTGTCTGGCCTAATCTTACACCTTTTTGTCCTGGAGGATCCAGTTAGTCCCTGGAACGTGAAGCTTTGTAGGAACAGGAAAAGAGGTGCAAGAGTAGTTGTGTGACAGTCAAGAGCCTGGAACGTACACACAAACTGGTGGTCCCCTCTTGCTTAAGCTCTTGTCACGCTGGGCGCATGGAGACTGCCAGCACAAGCCACCTGTTTGCTCGTGCGTATTACACATCTTCCTGAGAAATAGCAATCTGTGCCTGTCTGTGCGTTTAATCACGAAAAAAAACCCAAACCCAAAACCTGAGAAGAACCCAAAGCCAGGATGTCATGCATCAGAGGCCAAACTCTGCCTGATGACTCCAGCAAGGCACTTCTGCTTCTCTGATCTCCACTCCTGTGCAGCTGAAAGCTGGGTGACATCCCTGGAACAGATGCTCTGCCCTGACAAAGATTTCTGACACGGGTTTACATAACCACACCAGTGTGCACTGTCCTAATTTTTTCTCTTTGAAAGTACCTCAAATGTTCCTATTATAGTTCCAAACTGTACTTTCAGAAGTACTCCTGCACTGATCCCTCAATACAGTTCAGCATGTAACGGACACATGCCACACTTGAAAACATGATAGAAATAATTATTTTTCCAAGCATTTTCCTTATCCCAGGAATCACATTTTGCTTCTCAGTCTCTATAAAGCATCCTCCTGCCAGCAGGCAGTTATTTCTCTTTTACATATCCCTTGAGAAAATGCATAGCAAAACATTCTGTATTTTATTCCACAACAAACGTTACCTATTCAAGGTTTTATGATAGAAATGGCTGCTGCTAAATACAGACCTGGATACCTCAAATTCCGTCAGTCATTAACCTTTCACCTATAATCATCTTACATGAAGGATTTACACAACCATTATGTAATTGACCATTAGAGGAACAGATGCATTTGAGATTTAAGAGTCAATTGTTTTATTTATAATTATGCATGATTTGAACTCCTACATGTTAAGTCCTTTATTTTCTTCTGCTTTGATATTTAAACACAGCAAGTGGCAAAGATTATAATTACAGGCAAAATAAAATTGAGATTTAATCAGTTGAAAAGTTCTCCTTTATTTAGTAGATTTTAGAAAAAATAACTGAAAATGCAACTACAAAAAATAACTATCTTAAAACTTTTCTGTAGGTAAATATCATCCATTTAACATAGCACTTACTACTTTTTCATGTCTGCCACAATAAATGTGGGGAAAGAAAAGATTTTGTATTGAAAGTGTGCTCCACATGGAGTTCTAGGAGAACAAATCATACACATTTTAGAATTAACTCCTGCACTACAAGCAGCTTTGTACCTATGGAAAAAATTGATAGATAAAGTACCATCAACTAGGAATGAATCCAGCGTATCAAGGTGTGGAGACAGCAGGAAAGTGTAGGAGAGAGTTGCAGGATGGGGGGGTGGGGAAGGGGGAATGTAATATTTTATCATTTCCAGTTGCTGAACTTTTAATTTGGAAAGTCTCTTTAGCAAAGATTCTTCTGCTTTAAAAAAAAGGGAAGAGAGCTGAATGTTTGGCTTTTTCTTGGCTTATTTTTATGTGCACAAAGTTACCAAGAATCAGCCCCATACTGATAATAAGGTAACAGGTACTCACTTCTCCTCAACCACTTGCTTTTGATACTCCTCATACTCCTCTCTGGTCATTCCTGCAGCTGCTGCTGGATCAGAAGGAGTGCTTTCTTCTTTGCCTTCTTCCCCTCCACCTCCAAGTCCCAAATTCTTTACCTGGTTGCTCAACATACTTTTCATTAGAAAGGCCATCTTCTCAAAAAAAAAGGAGCTATAAGCAAACAACTACAAGAAAGCCAAACCAAACCAAAAATGTTTTCAAAGCCAACAATTGTAAGCAAGAGAGTTTCTACAGCCACATCAGCTCTTCAAGGGCACAATGCTAGTGAAACGTGAATGCCAAAACCAGTTTGTCAGCCATAATCTGGATTAAAGAGTGAACTCCTTAATATCTAGAGGCAGATGGTTCAGATTACTCAAAAAAAATCATTAGATGCAGCTACCTACTTTTTATATTAATACCTTAAGCTAATTGCACACACACACACACAAATCAATTATAGTGTGCAATAGCATTTTGACTTCTTCAGTCTTGAAACTGTCACTTTCACAGAGATGAGAACGTTCCCTGGAACGTAATGGATCTGAATTAAAAATCTGGTTGACTAAATGGCCATAGTAAAATCGTAAAATTTGGCCTACTACGCAGAAAACCCTTTTGGATTTATACAATCAAACAAGATTTGAAAACTGGAATTCTTCATTAAGCAAAAAACCCAATCCTTTTTATCCATTAATATTTTATCACATTGGACAGAAAGTACATTGAATGATTTTTCTTCATCCACTTTTCATATGATCGGTTTGTCTCACAGATGAATGGGGCGTTACTGCTATCATTACTTTTTTTTCAAGAAAGTAATCACAAAAAAAGCAAATCACACCTTCCTACTTTTCATTCCTTACGGTTTATTTCAACTCTTCCCCAGGCTGCCTCCATCTAGACCACCTAGACTGGTGATCACCTGACTGGTGCTGCACAGAGCACCTAGTGTTTTTAGTCTTAACTGTCAGTAAAGGAGAAATGAATCTGACTGATTGTATATGCTGTAATACAGCCTTGATATCTTTTGTTTGTGGATTGCTTGTGTAGGTCTTCATCTTTCAAACTTTTATTCACATCATTAGCCTCACCAGGTCTATTCAGGTGAAGATTTGCAGGATCTGCTACTAGATCATAGACTATTTTGGGAAAGAAAAATCATCTGCTAGGTCTCAAAAGTTCATGATTTTGGGTTTTGAGCATTTATTCTACTACGACTGACTGCGCATGCCTTAATGAAACATTCTGTAATTTTGATTATCTAAATGGTTCTCCCAGCACTCTCATAATTTCACTGAGAGACGGGAGGATTCCAGTTTGCCTAATGCCTTGATCTGTATTAGAGCCTTTCTAATTAAAGCAGACCTGTTACTATTTTTAAAAAAAAGCAGGATGTTCTGTAATCCTGGATTATTAGTGATTAAAAAAGAAACTTTAGATTTCTTTTTGAAATAGAAGCAAGAATTCCAAATCACAACAAAACTACTTTGATATACTACAAATACCTAGAAAGCATTTTTCTTAAATCAAAATTTATTTTTATAATCACCGTGCACTTTCAGAACTATGCATAAGTTGCAAGAATTTGTGGGAAGAATCAACTTTTTACATGTGACCAACTCTGACCTTGATTACCAAAACTGTATTGTACTTGCCCAAATGGCTAGCAGAACTGAGATCATAGACACGAGATAGCTAATCCCAATTTACGCAGAGAATGCTAATCTTGAGCATGCATTAGTCTGAAGTTGAATGCATAAAATTAAATAAAATTTGTTACCTGGCAAAATTTAAAAACTAAAAACCAGGCATTAAGTTTATACATGAGGTATCGTTGCTCCTACCTCAGAGAGTCGCTTCAGAATGGGCCTGGCAAAGTCAGTCCGACTTCGTTACGCCCAGAGACTTCCCTGGTTCAGTTTACTGCCTCTCTGAGGCATTCGAAGGGCAGAAGGGCTGACAGCGTCCCTCCTTTCCCACCCTCCTGAATTTTAGAGAAGGCTGTGTTTGTTCGAAAGAGCTGACAGCTAGCTAGTGCTGCGGGCCCGCTGCGGGCCCACCGCGGGGGCACGCTAGTGCCGACAGAGCGCGGCATGAGCCGTGCCAGCGCCGTGCCACCCGCTAAGTGCTGTCCGACTGCTCACTGGTACTTTCATACCAGCCTGGAGACAGTACGGGCAAGCAGACAGGGGTCTGACCTGCAACCCTTTTTTGCCTTCTGCTAAAACCAAGACCTTGCTCGCTTTGCTGGTGTTTGAAAAGTCCTGCCAACAGGCCTCACCTAGCATCTCTTTTGGAAGGAAGAGAGTCTTCGGATGAGCACGCTGACTGCTGAGCAGTAGTGGCAACCCCATGATCCAGAACAAGACCACAAGAGCCCCTCTCTGTTATGCAGCCAACTTTAAGAGGAAGAAATGAAAATAAAAGGTTATTTCTAGAAAATTATTTGAGTTAAATACTGCTCCAAGAGCGAGCCCCTGGAAAAAACCAAACCCTCGTTCCTGAACTACAGCCTGACTCACGTAAGTGACTTGCCCCACACTGCTCAGAACAGAGTGGATCTCAAGAGCAGGAGACAGAAAATCCTAAGTGAGGAGAGAAGGTGCTTGGTCAATTCAGGCATCTCTAAAAACGGAAGGCGGCTAGAGAAAGAGGGCATCACAGCTCTGGATAAAAGTTTTGGTCTTGCTGACCTTTGCATCCACTGCTTACAGCACAAAGCTAACAACAGAAACTGGCAACATGGACATCAGAAGCTGGAAGATCATCTTCTCAATCTGCTTCAGCTCCACAGCCAAGCTGTATCTTACACAAGTACACAGCACAAAAGCGTTCAAGAAATACTGCATGAACCACATACAGATCATAAAGAGGTTTTCAGCAGCTTGCAAAAACCATTGAACAGGTTAAAGTAATATATTGGCACTGTTTATGCACGATCCTAAAATGCACGAGTTCAGTAACAGTACAGTAGGCATCACAGAAAAGCATGCTACAAGAGAAGTTTAAGATCAGATAAATATAACTTTTGATTGTTAGTATTTTCTCTGTGCTTTGACAGCCACTTGATTAAATGTTAGCATGCTGTCCCACAACATCACTACTTAGTGCCAAATGCCTCTCGAGTCCATTTGCAGTGGTTGGCTCATCTTTATTTAACATTCTCCTAACTGGAACAGGGAGCTAGCGAGAGACATTAGTGTGTCTGTACTGTGTACTTTGCAAATACGACATGCAGTGCTGATCGTTCCAGTATTAGGTCTCATAGTCGTCTTTAAGTGTATGGGAAGTGTGTCTGTTAAACTTTGCGCTATTGGTCTTTACTGAAGAGACGCTTCCCTAACTTTGGGCGTAAGTCTTAGCTGTAGACTTTGATCCCTATAGAAATGTTGCTAACACCACCTTCTGCCTAAAAGAGATGCTTTCACAGAATCGACTGAGAAGGCAAGAAAGCTGAAAACTGGCTTGGGAAGGGATTGCTGAGATCTTGCCCTCCAGGTCTTGAGAGAGGTCTCATGAACCTTCCTAACAGCAAAAGGCTTTCCAACGTTAGATTCAAAACTGACGACAACAAAAAGTGCTTTAAAAAGTTATTGGCCCTATTGGCATCGGAAACTGCTGAGAAACACAAAAGAGGCTTGTGACAAAACTTTGGAAGACACTACATAGCTAGCTAGTGAATTGCTCACTTCATTGTGGGTTTAGGTATTTATCACAAATCTGTGTATACAAATAATGAATAAACACTCAGATTGATAAGGAACCAATTGCTCACGGCGTACCTAAAGCATCAAGTTTTAAGCACCTACCTTGGGTGTCAACAAGGACCAGTACCTCCAGAATAATTCCCATTCCTGACAGGTGCTTTAACTACTGCCTATATTGAAGTTACAAACCCCTTACTGCTTTTTGTTGATTATAGGGATCACATGACGATGTGATGCTTAATGAAGACGTACGGACAGCTGCTAATTAAGTACTCGTGTTGCCACTTCCTTTGCTTTAAATCAACATCCTTTCCCTCTAGCTTAAGTGAAATCAAAATTAAAGGCTCGGTTCCTGTTTTATCTGACAGAACTGGGCAGTATGAAAAAAGCCTATGTTCCATACCCAAAGAACACAGGCATCTCCAACCCCAGAATATAATTCAGAGTCTCAAAACAGGCAAATCACAAAGAGCAAAATCTAAAAGCCTCAGAGAGGCCAACACAAAAATGCAATAGGCAGGCAAACATCCAAACTCCCAGCCTTTTCTAGAGACTCTGTTCCCAAAATACAGTCACAGCAGACAACTCGAACCACAGAATTCAGAAGTATCCAAGTGTTCTTTGAAAGGACCAAGACTCTCTACCCCCAGCTTCATCCCTCTAGAAGAGGGTGTTGCCTTTTGTATGTCGGAACATTAGATCACTTGCACAGAAAGAGAGAAATATTTTAGGGCTTTCTCAGCTTGAATAGATTTAATTGAAGATCCCTCTCTTCCACCTATTAGAGAAATTGCCCCTGGCTAGGGGAAAATGATGGTCAATGAGAATTCTTACTCTTCCTGCAGGAGGTTACCACTGACAAACAGAGTTTACTGGACAAAAGAGTGAAAAAAAAAAAACAACACCCCCCCACAAAAAACCCAAACACCACCAAAACAAAAAAAAACCCAGGGAGACACAGACTGACTTGTTTTGGGTAGGCATGTTGTATTCCAACAAACAGGAGCAGAGCACCCAGGTGACAGCAGTTTGGGGAATCTGGAGAAAGAACTCAGAGATACAGGCAATCTTCAGCTCAGAAGAAAGAGGTACTTCGTATACTCCAAGCAGCCAGCAAGCAACTCGATTTGCTGTTAAGAGACGCAGAAGTTGACATACTACTTTACATTTGACCCTAAATGGCCGATACTCTTAACACAAGCTTTTGAGCGAATCTCTTACTTTTAGGTTAGAGTCACTCTTGCATTAGACTGCAACACAGAGAATATAATCCCTTCGCACTGAAAGAACTGAGGCTGGATTCAGCGTACCTTTCTAACCAAGGCAGTCATCCACCTCTTCAAGACAGGCAGAGCCTCAGCCTCTGAATGCCGTTAACTCTCCGTTATCAGGTAGGACTGAATCCAGATCTCAAAGCATTCAAACTCTCTGAACAACAGAGG